GAATAGTATCATCCTGTTGAAAAAATTCTAACCAAACCAATACAACCTCTTAAACAAGTCACATTACCTGCCCGTAAATGGTTCACGTTGTTAACGCTGCCGACCCCCCCCTCCCCATTTTCTTTCGCAATGCAATGAAACGGGTGTGAAATGTTGTGAGATGACGCTGATATAGCTGGAGAAAATCTGTCTCTCCCTCCCTCTCTCTCTCTCTCTCTCTCAGGCGTTAAGATGATTGATAAATCTCCTCAAACAAATATCTGTTTCTTAAGTTGATATTTCCTTCTTTCAATACAATTTGTAAATGAGATTTGCTTAGGACTATTTGATTGGAGAATTAAGGTTCAAAACATAGAATCAAAGTGGATGGAGAGATCGAGCAATGGCTTTTGAGAAGGAGAAAATTGCTTTTTTTCGAGAAAATTAATTTATATATTATTCATACAGTAAGCTCAGAGATCGATGGAATGGTAGAACAAGCTTTGCACTGATCCAACAATCATAATCACAAAAATTATAGTTGATTTTACCTTATGTATGATCACACCAACATAACGGGTACAATAATTCATCTTGACAGGGAGAGACAAAAATCAATATCAAGAATAAATTGCCAGACGAAAACATAACATTCTGATGTATGTGATGATGAAAGAACTGTATTGGGGACACAAAAAGCAAAAGGTGTGCGAATAGGAAGGATGAAAAATGTAAAGATCACAAATTGTAACACATTTAATTCAAAATTACAGAAACAGGGTAAATAAGTCTCCTCATATTAAGCGTTATATAATGGCAGTTTAATAGCTTTTGAAATGAAAAAATAGCTAAGAGGATGCATGATAAAATATTTAAAATAGAAGATACTACAAAAATGCCGTGAACTCTCCTTTCCAGCCAATGTCTCTGTGTGTCGTGTACATTGTCTACATGTATTATTATTATTATTATGAAACAGGATTTAAACATGTTCTTTTAATGAACTCTTTATACAAAATAATAAAAAGGGACAGGGGTTGGGCACAGGTGGTAATTTCTGACTACATACGGGTACTGGTATACTGTATGTAAGTCCCTGTAAAACGTCTATATATTTCCTTTACCTTTGCAGTTTGCACAGCCCATCAAGCTGCTTCTCAGTTACGTTGGCAGAGAATTTGAAACAAAACAATATTGCCTTGGACCAGGTAAGTGCCTGGCCCTCCTCTCTCTCTCTCTCTCTCTCTCTCTCTCTCTCTCTCTCTCTCTCTCCTAGACCCGAAGACTAAGTGCTTTGAATAAAACGTCCTTGGTCTTGTTGGTGAGTTGCTAAGAATGGATTGACAGCATAAAAATTATAGGAGATAAGTTCAGTTGGTGATGGCAAGTCAAAAGACCGCTAATACGAACTGTTCTGCATCAGGTACGTATCTCATTGATGTATATGAAACTGAAACTGTATGTTTTCTACCTGCAAGTCGTATGGAATAGAACCTTATCATTAATTCATCTCTATATTATTGTAACATCTTTCCGCCCTGTCAGTGCCTAATGTCAATTGTAACATATGTGTTTATGTATTTTCGACTCCGCATCATTCATGCAAGCTCGTTCTCTCTCTCGGGTGAGCCATCACAATCAATAAAATTCCCATAACATCGTCAAGGTGATAACAATAATAATAATTTATCAAATCGCTTCTGCGTGTATTTTTGTTTCAGGACATGTTTTACTTTTTACAGGCCACGCACTTTTTCAGCACCCCCCTTGAAATTGCTCTCTACATGGCCTGGTCTCTCCCTCTGCAATTTACACTGATCTAATAACTCGTGCATTCTGAACCTCATTGTTTGTAATTTCAACTCAACTCATACAGTAATAAGGCATGGAAGAGCGTGAAGTACTCACTGGGCCTACCTTTCCCAAATGTATGTATTGATTGAACCATCGTTGAAACAAGTAAAACTATATAAGTCAGAGAAGAATTTCATCAGCTGTTTTTACCACCAATATTTCGATGTCTAGCAGAACATCTTCATCAGGGAATATTGGAGGTAAATGTATGTCAATATTATCTGTTGACTGAAGAAAAATTACAACATTGTTATGTATACTAGAGAATAATATATTAAATGGATCATTTCTGTTTCACTTTGTTACAAATTTCATGAATACGATTCAAAGTTATAGGAAAACGAGACATTCAGAATTGCTTTATTTTTTCAGCTTCCCTATCTAATAGACGGTGACGTCAAGATCGTTCAGAGACATGCTATCTTAAAGCACAATCTCTGTAAGCTCCAGTAAAACTTGCTAACGAACCCGTTGCTGCTTTTAATTATTATAACCTAATGTAATAAAATAACATTTTTATGTTTTTCTTTTCTTTTCAAATGTGTTCCGGGCAAATTGTATTTCGGATAGCAATGTTGGATATGGAAATCATATAATCAACAAGAATCCATATTGGCCGAGTCACAATTTATAACAGCCAAATCCACGCACTACATGTGGCAACCCTTGCAAGCAATACAAAACGCAGCTCTGCCAAAGGACACAACACGGCCAAATAAACAAAAAAGATACTATTTTGAAATAAGATAGCATGGATAAATGCTATTTAGTAATTGTTGTAAATATTGATTTGCTTCCAGCTCTAGAACTGTTCCATGTGTTAAAACAAATAAGTAACCCCGAAGGTTTCAGTGCGTTTCATATACATCCAAAGGTCGCCGATCCATTTTCTCTAGATAAATATTATTTATTTCTTTTTTCAGATAACATTTGTAGACTTTATAGCTTATGATCTGTTTGACATCCATCGCGTATTCTCACCAGGCTGTTTAGACGGCTATAAGAACATAGCTGATTACATGGAAAATTTTGAGGTGTGATATTAGAACATACATGTACATGTTTTAATTTTTTTAATCTTTTATTGAACCCTTTAAACTGACACATGAGACTTACCCTCATCTGTATAGTTTCTTAATTTTTCCAAAGAAATGAAGAAAATATATTTATTGCTATAGTAAAGATAGAATTGCATTAAATCTTAAGAGCATTATATAATATTCCTTATGTTATATTACAAAAAATACAACATGTTTGCTTTCTTTTTCTTTAAGGAACTCCCTGCCGTTGAAAAGTACATGCACTCAGGCACGTTTTTACGAAGACCTATTTATAACAAGCCAGCAGATTGGCGAGGGGACTGAAAAAAAAGATAAAATGAAGAACAACTGAGAAAAAAACATAGTTTGTCTGGTTGTTGATCCGTATAAAAACGTTTATCTCAGGGTACAGTTTGTCTAGATTACACTATGATAACATGCACGTTGCATTTACTTCAAACCTGCCAGATTATCCCAATGCAAGAGAAAAGAATATACGGAGGTGCAACGAAAGGGAATGAAGAAGACCGTTAAAAGAATGGAATGCCATTTAATGGCTTATGCCATTTTGACTCCACTGAGAAAAATTATCTCTTCTAGTTTGTATCTTTTGTTCTTTCATATAAACGCAGACTGTGCCTTCCTCACAAGGTGCGTATGAGTTCATATTATGCATGTCGAATATTTTAGAAGTCTTCGGGATCTGTCCATATTCATACATGTGTACAGAGATGGATTACATAAAATACATTGCGATAACGGGGACGACATCCATGAATGCTTTAATAATTATATATATATATATATCTTGAAATTATCATGTCCAGATAGTTCACATCAAAAGCTTTTGTTTGTTCCTAAAATTAAGTCTCGACGTAAGTTGCGCAGGTAGGCCCTTCATTACGTTAGTTGCGACGGAGTAAATGTGATGTGAGTGCTCGCAGATTGCATGAGCTTATTATCATGGTTTGACATCCGTTGTGGCCATTCTCCTTGTTTCAGCTTTAAAAATAAACTGACAATGTCCAGTAAGGTCACAAGGGATGACCAGTAAACCGGAGAGATGGCTAGCCACTAAGGAAATTCAGATAGGGTCAAGTTTACAAACCAGGAGGTAGACCGTCTCTGTTTGAGATACTCGGTCAATTGGTCTCAGTTGGCTCTTGCATGAAGTTATGTAATGATAAGGCATGGTTTTCATCGTAGTAGCAGGAAAAGTGTGCAACC